CCTGCAGGTTTTAAACTGAGTTTAAGCTAAAATCTCTGTAATCTTGTGAAAGCCAACAGAACTTTTAATTCAACCACAGATTGCCTAAAGCATTGAATACACAATGATATCAAGTTATATCCCCATTACTCACTGGCTTGCATCAGTAACAGAAACATTATTTTGTTGGTAGAAGATTAAAAGCCTGGTTTACACCTGCCATTAATCTATTATTTCAGGGTGTATGCATAAAATGATTGAGCTGCACCAGTTGTGGTACAGATCTTGGGAAAGGGTTTCAAACATATTCTAACCCACTAAGTTAATATTACTAACATAGCGCCAACTCATGACTGCCTCAACATTAACATTCACCCACAGGGCTGTGGGATGGGAATAATGAAATCAATATCAGTGATCTGATGGCTACTTGTTCGGTTTTCATTCATTAGGTAGAGATATGAGCGGCTAGAACTCTTCAAATTACCCTAAAATATAGTGCCAGCATGGATCTTATATAAACACATTTTGTTCCCCCCACATTCAGGCATCCAAGTATGTGTCCCTAAATGTTCTATAAAATGTCAATTTAATAAAGCAGAATGGTATATTTGTATATCCAGTGTAGCCAAGCAAAAGAGTCACCATGTTCTCATTTTCTTAAAGATTACATTCAACTTAAAGGGACACTATAGTCACTAAAGCAACATTAGCATAATAAGGTAGTTTTGGTGTATAGACCATGCCTCTGCGGTCTCACTGCTCAATTCTCTGCCATTTAGAAGTTAAATCACTTTGTTTATACAGCCTTAGTCACACCTCTCTGCATGTGACTTGCACGGCCTTCCTAAACACTTTCTGTAAAGAGTCATCTAAGGTTTACACTTCCTTTATAGCAATTTCTGTCTAATTTAGAATGTATTATCTCCTCCTCTGTTAATGGCATCATAGACCCTGTAGGAGTCTCTGTATGTAATTAAAGTTAAATTTACAGACCAGGAGATAAAACTTTTAAAGTAAGCTACGTCTGATTGTCAGTCAAAGCCAGTAGATGCGTACACAGGACTTCATGGACAGAAAACTAAACACAAAAACTGCTTCATAAAGCTAAAGTTGTTTTGGTGACTATAGTGTCCATTTGAACAAATAAACTCAACCATTAAAAAAAAAAGAATATATCTGCAGAAAATAAAATAAAGAAAGAATAGATCACAGTACAAGACAACATGCATGTTTTGATCCATTCATTTCCCATTTACAGCATTCATTTTGAGATATATATATATATATATATATATATATATATATATATATATAGTTTTTTCTCTAAACACAGAATTTAGAATTTTAATGAATTTTTAACCAAATGGCAATACTTAGGCCAAAATAGCTACCCCACTCCCCCCTAAAACCCTTTTGGCTATAGTCACATCTTGGCTAATTTAGTCTAAATTGTAGAATTCCCTGTAGTACAGTGTTCAGTGAATAAACTTCACATAACTTAACAAATAGTTCTTTGACGATTCCAGTATTAAAAACATTCTTTCTATCATTGAAAGGCAAGAAAATAATTCAACAATCTAAACAGAAATTCAGAAACTTGCAAAATAACCACGAAAATGTAGGATGTTTAATGAAACACAATCTTGCTTCACAATCTCAAAATGCTTGAGATGCATAACTGGTCAAATAAACCTGTGAACCGAAAGAAAAAAAAAGCAAATTTTACATTGCTACTTAGACAGTACATTAATACATTCTACATGCAAAATTACCGTAGATAGTACAGGAATGTCTAAAAGCCTTTATCCTTTTCAAACACTTTAATCCTTATCTTTGATATTTATTACAGATAAGTCGAAATTACTGAAGACAGTTACTCGCTCGGCTTCTTTTAAAGAAACACTCCAAGCATTATAACCACCTAGCCTGCTGTAGTGATTATGGTTCCCCCCTATTGTAACTAGGCAAAACTTATTAGAAAGATTTGACTTCTAAGCTGTGTAAGCAGGGTGCTGCTCCCTGTCCCCACTAATACGTTGGAGAGCTAAAAGTTCCCAAGAAGGAATTTTCATTAGCTTTCCTGAGCTAAGCAAGCACTACACTGCTTAGGAACTTCAGTCTCTCCTGCATAAGTAGTGGAGTTGTACCAGAATTTTGAAACATCATTCAAGGTGTTAAAGTAGAGCAATACTAACTCCCCAGCTATTTTGGAACTAAAATCCCCATAATTCTCTGAAGATGAGGGAACAATTAAACAGTCAATTTAACAGGTGACCCTTTAACCTTCAAAACTAAATGACAAAAAGAAAGGATTTGGGTCTGTGTAGCATGTTAGTCACTCAGGACTTGCCATCAATATATTGTGGTAGTAGAACTGTAAAGAGCAGTAGCATGAATATATTGCCCTGCAAATTATTGAACTAATTCCATGTTCTCTGTTCTACTGCTGTCCTTTAAAGACTCTTGCAGCATTTTCTGCAAATTGGTCCAAATGTTTTCAGTTAATAATGTAGTAAATCATATTAAACAGCACAAAAGCCAGCACAAAGTCAAACACATCTTGTAAATAGTAAAAGCTCTCCATGTGCATCTTTAACAAAATTTAAGTCACTGAAGTAATTTATGAACACGATTTAAGTAATTTATGGATCCGAAAAGAACATCTTATTGCTGTAGATGTATGTCAGGGGTATTAATTATAGCCTACAGTATCACCAGAGATTTAAGAAACAAAACAGTGGACCAACTCGGACCAGAACAAAATGTAATGGTCTGATGGAAATGCTGAGTCACCAAATGAGGAACGTAAGATCCCTTTGTAAGAATTTCTGGGTTTTGGAGCCTTCTATACAAAATAAGGATCATCTTGTAACTTGTGTTTTGTGTGTCTCATTGTGTTCTTTGAGATAACATATGGGAATTATTATTACTTGGTTTTCTGAGATTCAGTGGAACATACTGGATAATTAAAATAATGTTGCAAACCATCTCATAAATAAGGGGATATTATAAATATAATGTAATCCGATTCGTACAAAATATACATTTGATTTCTGAATCTGATATTAGCATCACTTTCTGTTTTTATGGTGTTAAGAAAAGGGGTTTATTTCTCAATGGATTGGTGTTGGTCATTGGTGTCCACATACATACAACCCTGACACATTGAGCCACAAATATGCTACGTCCTCCATAAACACCAAGTAATGGAACAGCCAACAAATGGTATAAAAATATACCTAACAAGGGCACATAATGTAAATGTGCGTCAGTGCTAAGAGTGAGTGTGAGAAGTAATGTCAAAAAAGTTTGTGATCCATTACTCCATTTAAGTGTATCTTTAAATTCACTGATGACCAGGTGCTATCTACATTAGCTTAAAAGGACCTCTAAGGTCACCCAGAACACTTCATATCAATGAAATAGTCTGAGTGCAGTCGTCCTGTATGTTAACATTGCCATTTTTCTGAAAAAGTTAAAAAAGCCTCTTGTGGCTGTCAGGGCTCTTGTGGCAAACTTGGTCACGTGAAGCTGCACCTCGTAGTAAAGCATTGGATCCAACAAGTAGACCATCCCCAGAGGAAGCCATACCTCCTCAATGACAAACTAGGAACGGGAAACTATATTGTTAGGAGTACAGGTTTGTATGCTATAGTGTTCCTTTAATTCACACAGGCTTTACACTTGAAATATAATGAACAAAGTTCTCTGAAACCCTAAACTTAACTATGAAATATAGTCTCAGACTCACCGCCTTGCCACAGCTGATGTCACTCTTTCCGTGTAACCAGACTTGCCTGTTCGCCGAGAAGCTTCAGATTTCAAACTGTAGGTTGATGCATTATCTAATGGGAGATAAAGTAAGAAAGAAATAGTTATCCAAATTGGAATTATGTCACAAAATGCTCGATATTATTTTGCTTAAAATAAATCTTTTAACAAATTAAATGCTAATGCAGTTTGTTTGGTGTGCATTCTGTTGCTACCTTGCTTTATTCAAAACGTTTTAACCAGAGGAAATTTGAAAATCGGCCTCTTGCAGTACCTTGAGTTACCGAGAGAAAGGTGCATGACTACCATAAATGGTTTACCAATCACAAGTGAGTTTTGGTGAGTTCACAATTGTCTTCACATACATTGCGCATTCTACCTGATGAGGAGAAAGATCCAGTTTTCTTTTCTAAGTCTTGCTGCATTTTTAGAAGCATCAATTCTTGCTCCAGACCTTCCAAATATTTTGAATAAGTCCAAGAAACCTATGAGCAATAAAAATGATTAATTGTAATGTCATTATGATATATCCACTAACCCTGAATCTTTACTAATATGCTATGTAGTGTAACTCTGATAAAAACACAATACTGCCCAAATCGCTGGCATTCCATTTATATATTGTAAAGTTTTTTCTACTCCGAAAAGCACTTCTAAGCAGCATAGGTGACATATCCGATTCTTGGTGGTGCCTGGGGAAAGTAGATATATTTGCTTGCAGCACTAGATTCTCAGTACCATCATCATAATCTCTTCAGCTCGTGACAAATGAAGGGTTACCTTCAGCCACGTCATCTTCGATCCCACGGGTTCTACCATAGATCTCTTTGTGCATTCATAGTCTTTGAAGATGCCATTTTGCCACCAGTCAAGTGACAACACATAGGAAATAGCAAGGCAAGCAAAAGTTTTTAAATCTTCTTTTGCTATATTAAACAGCAGTGGTCTAGATATGGGTCATGTCTTAGACTTGAAGTCCGGCAGAGATGCACAACAAATTATCACATCGTAGGCTGTACTTTGCAAACCAGGACGCAAGGAAAACTGGATCTAGGGTTTATTAACTTCTCAAATCAAATGAAACAAAACTGGGTAATCTTCGCCCTCTGTGTCCCATGACATGTGAGGTTTATCTTAAATTTACTAAATGCGTCAGTGACATTTTCAAGTGGCAACAAAACTCAGTGTATGAACTGCCTTTCCAATACAATGCCTACAATGATCCCAAGTGAGACTCTGCCTATGATAATGGCATGGAAGCCTGTTAGGTAGCTAAGGAACCCATCCCAACCCATTCCACTAAAATGATGGAAATGCCAAACATTATATGTTGTTTCTTGTGAAAAGAAATGGGAAAAATAATCAAAAACATATTTTGATTTAAATATTCGTTATATATTAGTGCAATGAGCTTTAAGTGAGCAGAAAGTGAATGGTTCTCTCTTAATTTATGTAAACTATCTAAGATCTTTGCAACATGCTGAGTGCATTCAAAGAGGCACTGTCTCCCCCCATAGTCATTACTGTTAAAGGCAGCCAAGAAACAGACTCCTTGAAGTTACAATTTCTTTTTATCCCAAAATTATTTCACATGCTTCTTTTATCTTAAGAAACAATTAAGATGGTTACAATGGTTACATTTATATGCCAGCTTGTATGGAATGACAGATTGCTGCATAAAATTTATTCGTGAGGAAAGTGTAATGAGAACGGAACGCAATATTATCTCCATCGTTGGCAGAATAATGCCTGGGATAAAGAAATGAAACAATTAAAGTGCTCCCTTTAATCCCTCTGCTCACTCTGGCAAAGGACTGGATGAGGGTAATAAAATCCCCTTACGTAACATTCCAAAAAGTAATTGCCAACATCCCATCGTGGATAATTAAATAATGGCTCTCAGACACTATTTCTCCACAATGGCAGCTAGTTCCTAAATCTGCATGATGCATTAATTGATGTTTCATGTTAACTGTAAGCTGGCTAATGGGGAAATAAAATGTAAATATTATGTAACCCCGATAGCCATAGGACTGCCATAAAGGTGCACAGTCAGACATGCAGCTGTGTGTAACCTGCTTATTCAGGGTGACTTGAACCAGCGTTGGCATCAAACTTATTTTGTATATACAGTATTTCTCCTCAACCCCTTCCTATGCCCATATTTAAATTAGACTCACTATAAGATTAGAAGATGTGGAATGTCATATTTAAAGGGACACTATAGTCACCCAGACCACTTCAGCTCAATGAAGTGGTCTGGGTGCCAGGTCCCTCAGGTTTTAACCCTTTACATGTCAACATAACAGTTTCAGAGAAACTGCTATGTTTACATTTGGGGTTAATCCAGCCTCAGCACATCTGCGACGCTGGAGGCGAATTTTGCCTCCATCGCGCAGAGCGTCCATAGGAAAGCATTGAGAAATGCTTTCCTATGGACACTTTGATGCATTTGGCACCAGTGACGTCGGACGGGGGAGCTGATGTCAGACGAGAA